ATTCCAAGTACTTTTCATACTTGCCGCGGCGACAACTTCACACAAACACATAAAGTTCACTGTAAAACGGTGTGAACGCTCGGTTCTCAACTTGAGCATAATCTGCAGATATCAACCATTGAAACAAAGATGAAAAACTCATGGTTCCCATAAAATTTGACGACTTTTATGACAACAGCGAGAACAGAAAGAGATGAAGAGAAAAAAAAAACAGGCAGTCGTAAAAAATTCGATTTGCTTCAATTATCCAAAAAGAAGACATAAACATAGAGGAGGGAAAAAAGTACGCAATGGTCTAAGCGCTAAATAAACAACAAATATATACACACATATATATCTAAACAAGTGGCGCTGTTATAACAATACCACCGACGACGAAAAGTAATAAAGTTTCGGTTGAATTTACACTAGAAGAAAAAAAAAATGTTTCAAAGAGAGACGATAGGGAATACCAAAAAAAAATCGTCGATGTGTGACGAACAACAAGATTGACCAGTCATAAAAATATGGATACATAAATATTGTTTCTTCACTTCAAAGATGAAGAAAAAAAAATATTTCTCACACTGCATCCAACATTCTACCGGCTCTGAACAACATTCCAATGTCGAGTAAGAGAGGCAAACTAAACAAAATTCTTTGGGAACCCACTAGACAAATTCGAAATGATTATGATCATTGATTGGATCGCAGTTAATCGGTTTTCCATGCAAGCGATCGCTGCACCATTGAAAACATTGATCAAACATTTGGTGCTCAATGTGTAAGAACATCACATATGTAAATGCATGAAAATTCATTTTTTTCTCTCTCCATCATTGGCATTCACTGATCGCAAGGCAGAGAGCAATAGAGAATAATATAAATTCCAAACGTGAATTTTACACAAAAAAAGTGAAGTGTTTGGTGTATAGAATTAGATATTAAATTCGTGTACCTACTATAATCAACATTCCAAAGTGTCGTTTTCTTTCTCTCTCTCTGGGCCGCACTCAGATTGTATTTAGTGTTTTGCGTTCGATTTCAATAGATTGTAAATGGCTGGGTTTGCCTATGCGCACAAAGCTTTGGTTTGGCTGTTTTGTTTAACGGCACATTCCGCAGCATACGGCATTACCTTTGAATCAAACACAAACACACACAGAGATAGAGAGAGCGAACGATCCAAATCATTGTGAGAAAATCTAACTTTACACTATTGTACCGAAGCGATAGAGAAATCGAAAATAATGAGGAAATATTTTCACAGAAGTCACCATACAATTGGATTGCTTTTCGTCGCAATTGTTAAAATACATTTGATTTTGTTTTGGATCATACGAAATAATGCCAATTACCACACACATAGCATCACGATCATTGCACTCGAATTGCTCGTCCGAAATATATTTTCCCCACCGGTTTTGCAATTGTTTTCATCTTCTTTGACGTCGACAACAACATCTTCGTCGATCTCTTGAAAAGTTCCGAATTCTAAAGAAAATGCGATTCTTGCAGTTGGGCTACCTTTCAACATTTTCTTGAAATAATATTTCACAAGAAACGTTTTTGGATCTTCGTCTTCTTCAAAAACTAATCTGCCTGAGAGTTAGTTGTTAATTCGTTTTTTTTCCTCCTCCTCCTCTAATTTTCTTTTTTGGGCTTGTTAGTTTTCTTGATTCCGACGAAATTCGAGTGAAATTGTTACATTAATGATTATTATTGTTATTCGACATTCCGATCTGCAACTATCTCTTTCTATTTTACCTGTATAAAAAATGCTCTCCATGCCCATCAATTGTGTGCGCTGGAATGGATGAAGAAGAACACTTTTATACTGAACGCATATTAAAGCGAACCAAAACGTGAGACTCGAGCGAACATAGACGGAGAGAAAACGAGAGAGAGAGAGAGAGAGAGAGAGAGAGAGAGTGAACAAAAATAAATCTCAGATCTAGACCTACGACCATTATGAGTTGATCGGTCGGATTTCGTTCTTTTAGACTCGATCTATTGTCTCGATGATCATCTCTGTGTACATATTTTCATTTATGTTTTAGACAAAAAAAATAACAACAACTCCGCATTCTTTCTTCCATTTTTTAATGATTCTCTGGAATTCGTCTTTTGTGTTATGACATGCATTTTTCCGAAAAAAGTGCCGAGAAAACAAAATCTCCAAAGTTGATTCATTGTCAATTATTATGCTTCTACATATGCCATATATGAATGTAAAATATTCTTTGGCCAACACCTGAAAAATATGATCAAACAAAAATTTTTTTTTGTACAAAAAAACACAATATTGGAAACACTTATTACCGTATGTCAATTTTTAGCCATTTTATTCGCATCCACTAATAAACCATTTTGCAAAATGTTAATTAATTTGATATATTTTACTATCATTTCGCGACAAACAATTGGCAAACTGTATTCAACTTGTATTTGGTCATGAAATTTGGTAGAATTTTTTTTTTGACAAAAGAAGAAAGAATCAAATATTTTATTCAAAATCAATGAGTTTTCCCTTTTGACCGCAAAAACAAAAACTTAAACGAAAAACGCATCGAAATTTGGTTGCATGGGAAAAAGTTCAAATGAAAAACCGACGTACATTTTGACACGGCCTCAAAATACAAGCTATTTTCCACTTCGGACGTGATTTCGCTGAGTGTGCCATTTTGCACGTTATCATTTGTATGAAAAATCCAGATAAAATGTAATAAACCGAACTTTTATGGTTTTTCGTTTCGTTCAAATTCCATGAGAAATGATCTTGAAAGAGAAGACTACACAAATAAACATACACACGTACACATGTAAGAACCGAAACGAACGAATGAAAAAAAAAATCAAAGCCGAATGTATGAACCGAAATAAAGCAGATTACTGATATTTGAAAGCCAAAACTGGTCAAAAAGAGATGAAAGATGAAACAAAAACACAAACTGAACAAAGAACGAATGTATTCGAAGAACCCGAATGAATCGAGCAAAGAAACAAAAAAGAATCAAGTCGAAAAGAAAATACAGAAAAATTCCGATGGCTCTGAGTGTGTTCCATGAACGATACGATCCCATACGGAAAAGATGAAAAGGAATGAAGAGAAGCAAACATGAACTGAGAGCCAAAAGAATGTTTCTGCTCAGTCGATCGAATCAGTTGTTGTTTACAGCTACATTTACTAACATGCATTTATAGCAACGCGCAAACGAATAACAATTTCTTGTAAAAAAAAAAACAAATACTGATCTCGAAACTTGAAATTCGTGTCTTATTTAAAGCAATAAGTAAAATAAAGTACGTCGAAGTTCAGTTTTTCATCGAACGAATTAAATTCTTTTGTGATTTATTCCGAAGTGTTGCATTTAATTTAAATATTGCAATTTCGGCGATCTCCGTGATTTTATTATTTTACTTTTAATTTATATATAATTGTAAGTATTGAGAGTAATCAATGGAAGTTTCTATTTTCTATTTATTATTTGTGGATTAAAGTGATTTGACAAAAGCGATTGAATTTTAGAGAAAGAGAGAGAAAAATGATGAAGAATATTCGTTATGCAGACATTGTATGTTACGTGTGTTCATGTTACCTATGCAAAACATCTGCCGTCTGTTTGTTGCCTCGCATTACAGTTAACAATGTGTTGAATTTTCGTTTTACATTTCATTTAAGTTGCATTTTTGGTCCGTGTCTTTCCTTATTTTTTTTGGTTGATGTTTTTGTTCGGTATTTTGATTCTTTTATTCTCGAAAATCGAAAAGATATCAGCTGCCGTTTAAGGTATCAGCTGCCGTTCTTGTGCCATCTGTCGTGGTTCTGGGCATGCGTTCAAAAACGCATAAAAAACTAATTATAACGACGGCAGACTGCATAGATTTGAAATGCACCTTGTTCGGTGCCTTAAGTCTAATTATGTGCTCCAAATGTAGTTTAGTGTTCAGTTTTATTTTGACTTATCTTATCGTCAGACGCACAAACACACAACTTATTTCGAATCTTTTTTTTTTTTTTTTTGAAGTTCATTTGCTTGGAATTTACAATTATCGACATTTTGTGGTTCACTTGTTTTTTTTTTTTAATAACTAGTTAGTTATCGCATTGGTTCACAGAAATTTCCAGTTTTTATTTGAATTGAATCGAATAATTTTCGTTTCATTTTATCGCATCACATTTTTAATTGGAATCGGGGTACAATTGTTTGAGCAATTTCATAGACATAAGCATAGACGACATTAAATATAGATTGCGAACGGCGACACATAACTTGGCATTTATCATTTAACAAGCATTATTGTTTAAAATCATCTCAACTTTCAAATTATTGCTGTAAATGAATTGGAATTTATGGAAAAAGTCGAAGAGTGAAAGAGTGCAACAGATAGAGTGAGAGAGAAAGAGAGAGAGTGCAACAGACATGAAAAATAGAGTTGATAATGCGTGAATACAGTTTCACATTTGTATGCTACATACATCATTATCATTAGTTGATTGTATTGAGTTGCTTCTGTAGCAACTGTCATTGTGTGATAATTTACACAGCTTTGTTCGAACGTCAAAACAGAAAGTCGCAAGTGATCATAGCAAACCGTGGATTGTACACTTTATCGCATTGTCGTGTATACATGTAAAATATATTGCATTTGTATTTGTTGATACTATTTTCCTCCACATTTATGCGGGGCTTTCTATTCTTCATACTCATTACATGTCATATATACGTGACATTATTTCGTTGCTTTATTGTTAATTCGTTTTTTCTCCCTGTATTTATCACGACTTTTTCAATTCGACGAATAATTTCGAAAACAATCATATTATATTTGCATATTCCATTGTTGAATCATTTGTGATAAAAGTGTGATTGAAACGGAGTGGCTGGAAATTACAATGAATAAATTGTTAATCATCTTGAATTTCATAATATTTTCGTAGTGCATTTAAGTAGTTCATTTATACATTTTGTAACTTATCAGTGTTTTTATTTGTTTCTTTGTTTTTCTTCTATTTACAGATCGATAATAATCAATTGTTTGAGTCGTTTTGCTTGATTGGATCCCATTCGAACAGCAATCACGATGAAGATTATAGTGCCGAATACGTCTAGTTCATTCTTCCCAAAGTTGAACTTTAATCACAGTTGCAAAGATGAAGATGTTGTTGATAACAAAACAAATGAATCAATGAAAGAAAGTCCATCATCAGCTCCCGTATCACCGAATACATCATTTATAACAACTCCAACAATTACAAACAATACAAGCATGTCGACCACTGATATGAATCTCGAAGAAAATCGCCTAAAAACATTCGATGATACTTGGCCGCACAGCTACATTCGGCCACGCATACTTGCTAAAATTGGCTTTTATTATCTTCGACCAAATGGTCCAAACGAACCAGATGATCGTGTCAAATGTAATTTCTGCAAAGTCGAAGTACAACAATGGGAACCAAACGACAATGAAATTGGCGAACATCTAAAACATTCATCAAATTGCCCATTGCTTAGACGAAACGAAACACCAAATGTACCAATCGATGCAGCTGAGCTGGATCAATTGTTACCACCAGTTAGCTATGATGTGTGCGGAACATATGCAATCGATCGACGACCGGATGCATATCCCGAAACACCATTTCCACCAACACCAAGCGTCGATATTGTTGAAAATACCAGCAATATCGCACACACAACAAATTCAACCGTTGAACGAGAAACACAAACGCTTAGACATCCCGATTATCCTGAATATGCTATCGAAACGGCACGCTTACGATCATTCGATGAGTGGCCAAAAACAATGAAACAAACGCCACAACAATTAAGTGATGCCGGTTTCTTTTATACACGCGTTGGTGATCGTGTGATATGCTTCAGCTGTGGTGGTGGTTTACGCGGTTGGGAAGAAGATGATCAGCCATGGGAACAGCATGCATTATGGTATGGAAAATGTGATTATCTTCGGCTTGTCAAAGGACCCGAATATGTTGAAACGATTAAAGCAAAATTCATGGCACAAAATGAACAAAACAACGGTAGCCTATCGTCATCGTCATCGTCACAAGAATCGGTTGCATCGTCATGCAGTAGTGGTTGTAGCAGCAGCAGTAGCACCGCTTCATCAACATCATCGACACCAATCAATTCACAATCATGTGGCGATCGAGACGAACAAACCCCGGATAAAAAGATATGCGAATCGAGACTGTGCAAAATCTGCTACTCGAGTGAATATAATACAGCATTTTTCCCATGCGGACATGTGATCGCCTGCGCAAAATGTGCTTCGTCTGTAACCAAATGTCCAATGTGTCGAAAGCCGTATGAACGTTTGATGCGAGTGTATTTCTCCTAGGCCACCCAAACCATTTAAATAACTACACTTATGTTAGTCATTATGATAATAGTTATTAAAAAAAATATATACTTGATCAAACCAATAAATATTTGCTCAAGTCATATGGATAATGTGTGGTCACTTACCAACATACTAAATGGAAAATCATATTTAATTAAAATCAATACCTGAATTATAAATGAGATCATTTACAAAGAAATTTAAGTGAAATCAATATGAGAATGCCAGATGAAAATAGCATCAAAATGGCCAAATATTTTAAAATTCGAAAGAAAACAATAATCGAACAACAAGAAGAAAAGAAAAAAAAACAAAACGAACATTTTCTACTCTTGAAACAGAATTAAATCCGAATGATATGAAGGAAACAATATGATTGACCGCTGATATTCAGTGAATCTGATAAAAAAAATCACAGTATAAATTGTACATAGTATTTTACGAAATAAAAAACCAATTTAATGCGAATAATAAATAACGAATAAAAACAACAAAATAACAAATTGGATTCAACATTTAAAAGAAAACGCATAACATTTCAATAATAAATGTGTTTGGTGATGATGATAATGATAACTGAAAATAAATAAGTTTAATGCTTTTATTTACACTCTATCTCTCTCATTCTTTTTGTATCTCCTTAGCCACAATGAAAATTTAAGCATTTATTCACTGAATTAAAGCACATTACAATGCTAGCATCTTTTTTTCTTCTTTAAATAAAAAAAATATTTTTAAAATATACAAATCAAATCTACACCTTTTTTCTCTCAATTGAATGGATCAAAATAAAAATCCGACTTGTACGCAGAGTCTATAAAAGTGGAACATGGAGTTTTTTTTACATAGTTTATTTTTTGTAATACAACAACAATTTAATTTTTCTCTAAAGCAATAAAATATGCTTTCTTTTACAGACCTACCGATAAAGATAAAGAGTAAATGAGAAATTAGACAATTATTTTACAGAAATTAAAATGCACATCAATCTGACACATTTGAGATTATATTAATTGGTGACAAGAAGACAAAAAAATGTTTAGTTTTTTTCAGTCTGCAATTTTATTCCTAGATGTGTGTGACAAAACATGCGAAGCATAATAGGCTTTCCGAATATATATATATTTTTTTCAAACAAACAACAAACAAAAGTTTGTAATTTAATGATGATGACATGTTTAATAGAAGATTTGAAAAGTATGCCATGCAGTGCATTCACTCGGTGAATTGTGCGTGTGCATGTTTATGTGTTGGCGGTATGCGACTATTTTAAATACAAACAATTCATTTGTCACACAATTTAATTAAATGCAACACTCAAAAGTGTGAGAAATTCACTTTAATACAAATAATAGCAAGTATTAACCGATGAAAAGTATGTGTTTACGTAAGCAATTGAATTAACGGAAAAAATACCGACAAAATTACATTTAAATCCAGTAGAGCAAACCAAAAATTTGAAATTTATACAAAAGATGTAAAAATAAATTTTGACCTATTTTTTTGATACTTTTACAAATTGATTCATTTTAATAAAGTTAAGCAAGGATAATAAAAAAAATGACACAAAAAAAACATAAAAATTAAAAACTGTTAAAAAATGTAAAGAAAAAAAACAATACACTGTACAGCGAATAAAGTGATTTTTGTCCAATTCTTCTTTTTTTCAATCTCTTCCTTTTTTGCGTTATTTTAGATGAAGAAAAATGAATACATTGAAATCCAAACATTTTCATATTACAACAGAACTCATAATTACTCCATATTTAAAAGCAACACAACATAATTCATTGAATAAACAATGTTTAAATAAGCTTATACAACTATTTAAAATGGACATACATATTTAAGTAACCTCACACGCATACACATTATAATACATGTGTGTCTCCTCAAAATGGCATCTAAAGCTCGTTTGTGATCATTACTTTTTTTCTTCAAACTTTTCAATTTTCCATTTTATTTAAAAACAAAAGAAAAACGTTTCTATCGAATATTCAATTGATTTTTAAATGAAATATCGAAATATTTTTGTCATCAACACCATTTAATATGGATAAATAGAAATTCGTCATAAAATCTACAAAAATTGACATAAAATAACGAAAATCCTACCTAAAAACTTACGAAAATCATATTTATAAAATTGACAACTATGAAAACGATATCAAAATATGACGATGATAACAAAACCGTAAAAGAATACATGAAATCACTTATCGCAAAATAATTGTTGTTGACATGAATTAAAAGAATTTTGGCGCCACTTGAAATTGTTTTGAAATTGCACAAACCAACCGATTGATTTATGATCGGCTTCACTAGAATCCATGCACAAACTGTAACAAATTCTATAATGACAAATGGCATTATATTCATCAAAATAATAACACTACTACTTATTGAATATATAATTTTGAAAATAAATGCGTTGAAAAAGCGTAGATTTACAAGAAAAATTGGTACTGCTATATGTAATGCTATATGTATTTTTATAATCCAAAAACAAAAACACCATTTTAATAAAGAACGAAAAGTATATTTAACCAATTCGTCTTTTTATTTCTTGGAAAAGTCCATATTTGTTTCAGAGGAAGTGCAATTTAGTCATAAATTTGGTGTGTCATGATGTTTATAGTTGTTTTGCTGGTTGTGTGTGTGAGAGAGATCGAGCGACGTTTCAGAAAATTGCAAACGATGATGTAATAATCTATTGAATTGAGAGCTGGCTTGGCTAATTGTGGCGCACTTTAGACGCCGTTTGGATGACGCCGTGGGCAGAATAATGTCATTTTGCAATGTGAAGGTTTTATCGAATATATATATATGCATGGTTCATATCTATTGATGCACCATATGGACATTGATTTTTAGCTAAACCAAATGGTAAGTATGAAGTTAATCGAAATATCACACATTCAACAATGGTCAGCGATTAAAATCATATAAAATGCGTTTCTTATACTCGTTTTCTCTCCTTGTAAAATATCTGCGCATAATCATATATCGTAACTCCGAGGAATGCAGACCATAGTGAGAACTTAATATGCAATGGATTTGGATGTGGTTTGAAATCGAATAGCCCATGCTCAATTGAACATTGAACAATACGCGAATGTGAAAAAAAAGAAGTCGAATTGCAATGTGTGCGTTTTATTACAACGGAATAAACGTCAACGACTCAAAAACAGCATCTAATGAATCTACACTAGCAACGACCGTGTGGATTATTACTGAATGAGTGCAGCAAACATGTGTATGAGAAGAAAAAAAAAATTACCAAAAAAAAAAAAACATAAGTCGGCTGCCACTCTTATAAAATTGCCCACGACACAACGACTGTAGCCGACCGATGAGTCATACTGTTTGTTCGACTGGCATCCGTTTGGAGTTTTTTTCCATTTCTATACGCAAGGCAAACAAATACGCTATAATGCATAAAAAAGAGAGAATTAACGAAACCGCGACTACTACGTAAGGTGGTTTTTTTCTTCTCTCTTTCTCTCTTCAGTCGCATAACGAATAGACTTTGCCATAAAGATATTTGATCATAGTCAGTGCAATGATTTTTTCTTCATTTAGTTTATGGGTGATTTTTTTTTCTTCTGCGCACTATTAGCGTAATTTACATAAAATTGAAAACTGAGTCAAATCGTGCACAAGTGGGTTTCACCGCTTATTATTTCAATCAATACAGGTTGCGCAGCCACTTAAAACATTCTTTGCTTGTCTAATGATATTCAAACTCTGACAATCAAGACGGATTTGTGCAACAAACAAAAAATAAACATGAACAAGCCGAGATGACGTCCTTGACAAGTACGCGACCTTTATTTCACACACTTTGGTATAACATTTTACACCTTTGTTTCGCACAAATACATGATTTATTATTGAGACACTTTTTTTACTTTCTTGTTACGATCAAGATTAGAAGTTGTTTTTTTCTATTTACTTTTATTGAAAAAATTAATTATATCGGTAGATAGAAATTTAAATGAAAAATTAAGAAAATATGCATATTTACATGTTGGAACTTAATCAAATATTCCACAATTTTGTCATATTTAATGAAAATTATTCAAATTCAAGTCGAAACAGGTAATTTTTATGTTACCGTCTGTTCTCATTAAAAAGATATTTTTTTTTTGAAGCGTTTATTTTTCGATAGAAGTTTTCAGAAAAAAAATCATTACTATAAATATCGTTACGTCCACTCGTTTCAATTCAATTCAGTTGGGTTTTATTCATTTCGTTACCAAATGATCTTCTTCGCAGGCGTAGATCATTACTTTGCGCAATAATTTTGTTACGATTCAAAGTGATATATATAAAAACAAAATTCCCCTCATTTAGTAAGGAAAATGTCAAATATATTTGGTTTTTGCTCTCATAAAATTTGTATTAGTATTATTTGCAACATGTTCTGTATGTTATTGTTTTCTTCTAAGGCCGTCAAATTTTTATAAGGCTTTAAATACAGTTGACGATCCAAAAATTGAATATAAAAAACTTCCCCGAGTCTATTACTATGGAAAATTGAATGGAGGATTCTACGCAATTGCAATGTCTTTATTTGATGGGTCATTTGCCGACTACTATGAAAAAGTTGATAAGACAAAATTATCGGAAAATTATTTGCGTAATTTAGGTTAAAGGCTTGGATTATCTAAGGATCAAAAACGTTGTACACAATGATATTAAACCTCAAAATTTGTTCTATCGAAAAGTAGACGTGTTCATTGGAGGTGGGTGGAATAATTTTCACAAAAATATATATATATATATTAATTTACGCTTAATCGTTTTTTTTTTGCGCAATCAGATTTTAATCTTGCTGCGATAAAAGGTGCTCGCTCTGCAGGTGGCACGATACTATTTGGTTCAGTAAGTTCATTCGCCAATCAAACTCGACACCCTATGGATGATTTTGAATCGTTGGTCTATTCGTATGGCTGTATTTTCTATATTTATATTTTTGAATCCTTCATCATATCATTTTTGATCCATTTTATTTTTCGTATTTTAATAATTTAGGCTGTGGTTTCTCGCTGGCGTACCGTTAGATCCATGCAAGAATCACGAACGATTTGAAAATTTTCTTCCTGAAGGCTACGCTTTATTTAAACGCCTAGAAAAAAAAATAAACATGCTAGAGCGAGATTAATGGCCAGTCAAGACATTTTTTTTGTACTTCCTTCGAATTGGAATTGGAATTAAATTGAAGCGTTTTTATTTTATTTTTAGAAAAAGCTGGAATATTTCAAGAATCCCCATGTTAGAGGTTTATTCGAAGACATTTGGGACAAGGAATTGTTAACTAAGCACACAGTTCCAAATTATGAAGAAATCACTTATTTAATCTTCGCTGCTATAAGTGAGATCAATAAAAATCGAAAAGGAATGCAGGGCGACTGGCTTTCAGATGGTATATGTGCAACTTTTGAAAAAATTACGAAAATTTGTGAAAGATAAATACAGTGAAAAAGAGCTCTGTTTAAAAAAAATAAATACATTGCATTTATTTTTCAAATGTTTCCACAGAATATATTTACTTCATCACTGTTGACATGCGTCACATTTGGAATTTCTGTCATTTTTTGTTCATGACGTTGAAACATTTTAGTTTCGAGTCGAATATTTAAAATATTCTTCAATTGTGTCGACCTTCTTATCGAAGTTAAAAACGATCTCTTCGTTAATATAGAGTAGGACTATTTTTTAATTCAGATCCTAATTTCCTTATAATTATTTGTACGGCGATCATCATATCGTTAGTTTTTCATATATTATTGATATAAATATATATAATGACTAATTTCTAATTAGCCAATCGAATTTTACAATAGAATAGAAAGAGTCCAAAAAATTATTTTGCTTATGAAATGCAGAATGAATAAATAAAGTGTATCGAGTGTATCGCAAATGTAAGATAATAAAAAAGATGACGACTTGCATTTTATTTAGTCGAATAAAATAAATGTGAGTGTAAAAATGCGAATAAAATACTCAAATGTACATTTTGATAATGTAAGTATCATTTTATTTTCATTGGCAACAAAAACAAACTGACTTGAAATAGTTTTGAGACATTCAAAACGACTAAGTAAAATCAACATTAAAAAAAATAGTCAAATTGCAGATAATCAAAATCAACATCACTCGTCAATGTCCAAAATGAGGTAGTTCGTGTTGTTAATATGCTTTTGCATATTGGTTGAAATTGCTAGATCGATTATGTTGCAACTCATGAAGAAATCAAAAGCGATAGCATTTGCATTAGATGCCCATGCGTTGCTTATTGAATCTGTGAATACCTTGTTGATGGCGTTTGCACGTTCTCTTGAAGACGGTAAGTGAATTCCGGGCGACTATGGGAAATTATATAAAATTAAATCGAAACAATCTAAAGAATGTCTCACATTTTAAGATCGCATTTTTTATGTTATTTTGCTTTCACATTTGAATTATGTAATCGATTCTTCAATAAATCAATGCAAATTGGAATGACATAGAGAGATATGAGATGTTCTTTGAATGAAGTGTTTATAAACACGTAAAAGTGTTTATTTCTTCATTCAAGTTCTTAAAATGTTAACTCACATAAGAGGTGCCGACACCTTGAATACCATAAATAACCCATGGCTCGTATTTGGTACTGTTTTCAAACTTTTTACTGAATATCTTACGAATGTAATCGGATAATTCGTTGTTCTGTAAATTTACTGTCGAGAATTTTTTCCATGATGGCCAAATGAGCTGCGAATCTATGAAACGAAATTTAAAAACACACACACACACAAAACGTTTGTTCAGCAACATGAATGTGCGATATCTGACGGATTTTTTTTGAAACTGCATGCTTTACTAAAACCTTATAATTTCATTTTTGGTTAAAAAAGCTTCTTTTTAAGTTTCACCTTCGACGACGCTTTTGTCATTGTAAAGAATGAGCAGGCTTTTGCCTGTACGATCCATCATTTCAATAGTCAAGTCGCCTGAATTAGCGCTATTATCCCATGGTCGTGTATAGATTACATCTCCAAGTTCAGCGGCCAAGGTTCGAAGTAAAATTAGATGGCGTTCGGGATAGTTGAAAAAACCTACAATACAAATGGCTCAATATAAATGATTTACTGCATTAAATAACAACGAAGACTGAAATATTACCTATTGGAAAATCAACAAAATTCAAAATAACGATTTCTTTCGATAGTGTAACAAATAAATGAATTTCCTCTAAAAATGGAATCAACGGTGCAACAAACAAGTTTTCGTTGACAATCCATAGATTTGCGCTCGGATTTGTTTCATTTTTTGAATCTTTGTAACTGTAAGCAAACAAAATCAAAATATTTTAACTTTGATTGACAAAAAATTCAATGGTCGAGAAAAGCAAAATGAGTGCATTACCCAATGCTAATGTCCAAGTATCGAACGCCAAAAACGAGCTGTGTCCAAATATCGAAATTCTGAACGAAACCAAACTTTTTCAAAAGAATGCTGCGACTGGCTTTTGTTCGTCGATCATAACAGCCCGAACAATGTGTGCCCGGTAAAAGTAGACTTTTGAGTGGTACTTTTTGAATTTCCGGCAACGATTTCATCCAATTTGGTTGAATTTTTAGACAATCCAATGTTTGCATTGATTTACCATTGAACGATGCAATATAAAATGGTAGACAGGCTGATTTTGGAATATGATCAGGTTTGGAAATTGCTGCAGCCAATCTATTCCACCCGTATGGCAATTCAATATCACCTAATTTCACATTGGTTTTTACATGACCGGTTGTTTTATTATTTAAATCGATTGAGAACAATGGTGCTGCATAAGACATGGATGGATCGTCTAAATAAAGCGCAATCCATTCGGCTGGATTTGCGCATTTTGGACCCCAGTTCACTTCCAAATGCGAATTTTCCACATTATGACTGATCGGCGAAACAGTCAAATAAATAGGACATGGTGACGATGAATCATCTGATTTTATTCATGTGAAATGAATGAACAAAATATATTCCACTCAATAACATCAGAAAAAAAATGTTTTAAATAAATGACTTAACTTACGTGCGTCCAAAACATAGTCAGCCAGTGTAATGTGACACAAATTTATTGTAACAAAAATGAAAAGCACAACCATTTGTAAATCCATGTGTAAATGTGAATGCATAAACAATTCCGAAAAACTCTGAAAACTGACTGAATGAATCCGCACCGTATGACACAAAAATGGTTTAACTGATATGCACAAGGTTGCAAAATGTTCCAACCAGATGTATTTCAATTATAAAAATAAAAAAAAAGAAACATTTAAATTCCATTTGATAGTAATTTGAATGTGAATGTATTGTTACAGGGTGATACTTCGAGCACGTTTTTTGGTCGGTGTTTTTTTTAGTTAAGTTATAAAATGATTTGTGAACTTAACTCGAAAATATGTTGATTCTCTCTTTTGATGCATACGTTGCGCATTTATAGTAAATATAATTTCCTTATTAACTTCAGAGGCACTTGCTGGAACCACTCGTATCAAGTTATTTAATTTGTTAATACATCTGGGCAAAAAAAGAAATCATCAAACACGCGCGAGCGCACATTTTTGTTGTTGATGCTGTTGCTAAAGTATGAATGTGTGTACTTTTATGTGTCTGACGATTTTAATAAAAAGTGGCGACATTTGATTGCACTCTTGCTTTGATAGCATTATTACTTGCTTCAGTTAGAATCGACACATTATTCTGTTTATTTTTTTTGTTTGATTTTTTTTCTCTTCATCTTTGATTGTGTCGCCGAAATGGAATACGACGAGATCCCTTCAATTGAAAAACATTCGATGCTTTTTTTAAATTCTTATTTATAACAATAACATTATCACATATAGTTCAGATATGGGGCTTTTTTCATTGTACTTTCCATTGGTTAACGACTGATTACATATTACAAATTATGCGTTGAATTTGTGATGATGAACATCTCTATTAAAAATGGAACACTGCTTATAAGCAAATTTACACCGTTCGAATAAATATTGGGTGATATTTCACAGTGTAGTAATAAGATGCCGTTGATGTTCATTTCAAACTTGAATGAAGAATTTTTTGTCGATAACGATAAAAGAAAGTCGTCTCCAAAATTTGATTTCAATGTGTTAAGATCTTTGGGACGATCAAAATAAATCAAACAAACTTGTCTCTTTTTTTAGATTTGGATTATGAAAAATAAATTTTATTTAAATATTGTGTAAATTAAATAAACAAATATAATCTACTAGAATCGATTTGCGTGTGTATTTTAATGAGGTAGCTTACTAAATACGATGCTAGGTGCGTGTTCCTTTGTTGTTGTTGTTTTTTTTTAATTCTAATTGAATACTTAGTCGACTAATGTATCATTAAATTGGTTTCGAATTTACTCTTGCTCGTACAAATTAAGTACAATAAGGTAGGTTGGGCATATCTAATTTATCATTGTGTTTGTGATGTGTGCTCTTCTTCTTTTTCGCCATAAAAAATGTTGCATTTAACTTTGCCGCCAAGCAAATATTAAAAATTGCAAATTAATGTGTTACAATGAGTTCGTTTTCATTCGGCCATCTTATTATCAAAAGCAAAAAAGAATCATCTTATGTTCATATAAAAATTATTTCGGTTTTTATAAATAAGTTAAGAACTGGGTCACTATATCGTTCAGAACAAAAAAAAATTTTTTTTTCCAAATTCCATACTATACACTTTGATTTGTTAATCTCGTTGTTAGCTAAACAAAAATACGTTTTCGTTAATTTATAAATACAAAAAAAGAAAATATTAATAATGCATAAACATAAATGCAAAATCAAGCGATCATCGGGCAGAGACGTCATCTCCTTTTAAAAAAAATAATAATAATGTGAAACTTTTTGTTCTCTCTTTTAAATGAAGATCATTATTTACACTTCTATGAACTAGTCTTAATCGTATTGCTTCTAAATTTGATCAATTTTCTTGATATCATTTGGCATTTCTTAGATTTACATTAGCGAAAATCTAAACCTGCAAATAGGAATTATACACATATTTACACGATTATTTCTCTCGATTTGTCTGCTCAACTCACGATCAAGCTTTGTACATGGTAAATTACATTTTTTTTTCTCTTTTTTTCATTTCTCATCTTGTTATGCGTTCACTCATTTTATGTGATCCAATTTCAAATGAATTAATACTATGGATCTCTAGACACTATTTTTTTCGTTCTTTTCTTTTTTTTCTTTAATTTTTATTTTAAAAAGAAAAAACCAAACAAAGAAATTATGTTCCCTTCTAGTTTCTATCACGAATTTCAAATTTTCGTTGTTAAATTGAATGGATTCATCCCATTTTACTAGCTAACTTGTTGGGTGAGCAAATTCACGAGTTCAGCTTGATCCATGTTATTAAGTGTTTGCATATCGATACCCAGTGCGGCTGCAACGGCTTCAATATCTAGGCCAAACGATGAAAGTAATTCAAGAAAACGAACCTCTTCGCCAGTCAATGGATTCGTTAATGCGGGACATGAATGATTGCATTGTGGCCAACTGCATCGTTCTAACAATCGCAATGAGCAACGCTCCGGTTCGGCAAATTTCTTTTTATGATGTGACACTCGACGATTGTCGTGGTTTTTGTGGTTATTTCGTCGCTTTTTACGTTTGTTCTCATTGTTACGGCGGCGCTCATTGTTATGAGGCGAATTATTATCATGACGGCGACCGTTGTTGTTGTTGTTGTTATTATTATTACTAAAAGAATTACGAGCTGATGATGATAGTCGTAACATATCCGATGAATGTTGATTGGAATTTTGATTTTTGCGCTTCGGTCGATCGATTTGTTGTTTGAGCTTGTCTAGGAAGGCATTTTTTTGTTTGCGACGTAATATACGATTTTGACGACGTTGTTCACGCTCCTCTTTCGTCATATTTTGTCGTCGTCTCTGTCGCTCTTCTTTCGATAGACGATGATGTCGACCGTGCCGTAACATCACCGCTGAATAATTACCATATTCCATACGTGTTTGAATGTTATCGACGTTGAAATCATCAAATGTGATTTCGGTATGTTTTCGACGATTCTTTGGCCGATTTTGATTTGAATCAAAAGCACGTCTTGATTTATTTTGTTGTTTGCCTGTTGCACGTTCCCAACATCGTAATGCTTCGGCCAATGAAATATCATCAATTTTGATATCCATCCAATCTCGTTTCGTAAGCACTGCATGGCCAATACATGAAGGTGCAAATACGGCCGTTACGTTGTCCAACGATGACCGCAATGCACCACCCATTTCATGAATATGATTCCATTGTTGTCGTGTGATCGGTGCTTCGATGCTGTCGGCTTCCATTTGTGCTTCATCAAATAACCATTGAAACACAAAGAGTGGTGCTTTAATTTAAATTAACGACGTCCATGATCAAGGAGAAAAAGAAGAAGAAACAAAAAAAGCGAAGAAAACAATTAGATTTTGATTGTCTGGCGAATACAATTGATTTCGATCAAGTCGGTCAAAAGAATGTTTCATTGCAATTTGATCAACCACAAAGAGGGAGAGAGAGAGAGTGAGAGAAATCAATGCGATTTACTTACAATGTAAAGTTGGATAAAGTCGATGACCGAAATAACATCGCCATGGTTCTGTTGGATGTTTGGCTGTACATGCTTGCGGTAAATCACCACCCCACATTTTATAACCAAGTTTAACAACATCGGCTGCTGCAATTGCTGTTGGTACATATGGATCACGGTCCAAAAACCAGCCCGAATCGCTAACACCACGAACTGTTATTTTAATGCCACGTTCAACACGCAAGAACCGCTTTACTTTATCCAAATTGAGCATTACACCCAAACCACCAGCTGACGAGCCAGCAAGAAGTAATTCACCGCCCTGTGATCGTCCCAAACCCAACGGAATTAAATCGGCAATCACCTGACGCACAATCAACGAACCCATAAATGACCATCCATCACGATCTGGCAATGATTTTGTTCCACTCCATGAATCCGAACTGCAGTATGGCACCAAAACATGGTTTGCATCATGCCAATACGGATTATCGCTTTCGATCGGAGATAAAATGCCACCAACTTCAATTTTCAACCAAAAAAAGAAATAAAAAAAGTTAGAAAAAAATACGACCAAAATATGATGATGTTTATTAAAAATTGCGATTTTGCAATTGTGGACAATGCGACGCATTCACTCACCATCTCTAGTTTCTGGCCACTGTGCCGATGTCATTAAGTGCCTGAGCCGTAACCAACGTGCTCGGCATGATTTTGTGTCGTAACAATGCCAGCCGCCTTCGAAAAAAACCACCCATCGTTTTGACTTCAGTGATTTTCGTAGATAGAATCCAGCCTGTGATCCATCATTACATGTAACGGTTCGATTCGAGAGAAATGCACGTTTTAATGAGCGCGATGGATCGATTACGGTTGTATGGCTCTTTTCAGTGAAAAGACGTTGAATGGAATTGCTCTCAATTGTCAATCTTTCTGGTGGCGTCAGGTCGGTTGATCGGCAATCGGTGTGCACGATCGCTGTTAGCATTACCACTGCTGATAAGAAATTCTATTGGAAAAAAAGAGACAAAAATGGAAGGAGAAAAAAAATGAAATGAAATGAATTGAATTTAAAGCAAAAAAAAAAAAAAATAGAAAACATATTCGAATGAAAATTAGATCTAAAGAAATATGCCTATAATTAAAGCGTAAGATTGTGTGGACGAGAAACGCAAAGAAAAGTAAATGCCGTTTCTATTTGAATATATGTATGCTTTTTTATTGCTTGTTTACTTCAATCATGCAGGTTTTTTTTCGTTTCATTTGAAACATAAACACAAACACGAGCGCTCTCTCATACAAAAGCACACTCGACGGAAAACTAGAAACACAAACATTTTCGAAGAAATACAAGCACACTGTCGTCGCCGAGATTCATAAAATTACATTTGGCTTTGTTGCAACACATTAATTATCAATTGAATGCAATTGAAATTAGATCATTTCAAATTAGTTTTATTACTTTCTTTGCATATTTCATTTGATTTTGGTTTTAGCGTTGGATGGATGCTCAGTTGGTTTTTTTCCCCATCTTCTCTATTTCGATCATTATTACAATGATTTCTGTGCATTTAATTAGGCATCAAGAAAAGAGCGATGCATGTGGCGGCATCAGTTCAGAAAAATTAACTGAAAATTAGTGTAGCTTAAGAGCGAAGTATGTGCGATTATTGCTACTATGTTTATATCCTAATTATGAAATTCTTGCTCGCTTCATCCCATGGTCGGTTAATTGCTGTAAAAGTTTATAGCGTTGGTAAAACGAAAGCGTGCGAATTGTCAAGAAAATTGCAATAGTTACGAAGGAAGACACGAATAATATATTTACTTGCATTACATCAATATGAAGAGTAACAAATCAACGATGATAAATCTCACTGAATTTCAGAGCAAAAGACTATACCACGTATGAACAAATGTATACAAAGAAAAAGATAAAGAAGAAGCAGCAGCAGCAGCAAAAAAAACAATAACAGCAATAATGACTCAATGGAAGACATCATGTGGCGAATTAAAAGTGGTGAAAAAGAAGATCCATTATCATATCTATGGCCGATCCGCCGATCTCTAGGTGGCATATTAACATTCAAAGTGATCACTTGATTTGTGGAATTGAAGGGCGGAATTGAAGGGCGGAAAACCAATGCATTTGAATTTGAAAGGTGAATTTACACCCCAACCAAAGAGTTTTGTGTGTATTCGGTTCCAAAAACAAATACACACCATTTGCATCAAAACACATTTCGAAGCTCCCGTATCTTGAGATGTACGTCTCCTTTGTATCCATGGTGCATAATAATGATAATGATAATGATAATAATATACATACAATTCAGAACGTAAACACCGTGTTTTTGGCGGGCTCTTTGATCATATTTGTTTATGTATTTGTGCTGAGGAACTTACATGCCTACCGATCAACATCAAAGAGAAAATGCCGCAATTAACGTGTAAAAATTGTACGGCAATATATTCTATGCTGTGTCATGTATGTGTATGGGCTTTGCAGCTCTCATGCTATTCGGCATAATACAAATGAAGAGAGAGAGAGAGAGAGAGAGAGAGAGAGAGAAAGAGAGAGAGAGATACGTACACGATGATATTCGAACAACAGACCGAATGAGTATATTCCGCATACACATACGATGCCGCGTGTACGGTGTAAATGCGGGATCGTGTGTAGTACACAGCATAGAGAATGAAGATAGAGCGGGAAAGAGAGCGACATACACATCATAAGCATATTGTGTGTATATTGCCATTGCTCCTTTAAATGATACACGTTCATCGTCCCATACACATTAGTTGGCGAGAATGCCATAATACAATCGCAACGAAACAGAGAGAAAGAGAACATTCAGCATTTTACCTAAAAAGAGATTTTCGTGTTGTTTTCGTTTTGTTTTGTTTTTGCTGCTTCGTTACTGCGATGCTCTTGATGTTGCTTCTCTCTTTTTAAGTTTCTTTTTTTTCTCGACTCTGTACTCCTCTCGATCCTTTTCGAATTTTCAGACTTGAATATTCAAACAAAGTGTACCGAATTCAACTTTTATATCGTTATCTCACTTTAACTTTCACTTTTCCCTCCGTGAGTTTTATTTATTTCTTCCACCTTTTCTCCGGTGTGTAAGCTGTTGGCTAATGTAGTTTTCTTTTGTTTTTTTTTTTTGCATTACTTACAGCCTAATCTTTTTTGTATGGCCGTCGACTAGACCTCATTTTGTCAGCCATGGGAAGAGAGACAAAGAGAGATCCATAGTCATTATATAAAATATCCACACACAAAAACATACATTGCACTTTTTCTATGCAAAACATTATAAACCGTATCCGTAATTTGAAGCAAATCTCATATAAATTGAATGATGCAAAAGGATAAAATTGAAATACTTTGCATCTCTATGATAAGAATAATATACTTGCAATAGAAGAATTTCATTAAAAACATGATTACGATTCATGTGAGTTTATGGATTGTTGCCAATACAGTTTTTTTTCAGTCGCAAATGTTAAACATTTATTCGACTAACATAAGTGTGTTAATTTTGCAACTTTTTAAAACATTGTCATTCATTGATGCATTTGCATGTTAGATTATGTGAACTTCAAGTAGTTACTTTTCTGTAAACGTCGTTGCCGTCATTTGTTGCGTGCGGTGTAAAATACAGCTGTGAAAAACCACATCAATGTGCAACATTTTAAGAACCGGAACATGAAAAATGCATTCAATCATTGGCCGCCGTGTGAATAAATACACACAAAATCCGATTTGACTTGCGATAAGCGCGTTTTGGTTCGTGAAGTGTGCCAAAAGTAAAAAATAATAATAATAAATCACACATAATGATTAAGATCATTAGTCATATTTTTGATAAATTATAAATTTTTCAATTTGTTGAAAATAAAATCGAAAGGATTTCCACATGACTCACATAGATGTGTATACATCGTTTCTACCATAGACTTTTTTTTTTAATCTAATATAGTCTCGAATGCTTCACATCCCCAACGATTGAGTTCACCAACTGTATTAGGAGTAGTCACTCCAACATATCAGATGGAACAAAGCATGCGAGTTAAAACCCGCAACAACAACAACAACAAAAAATACCGTACATGCGTATATTGCAATATCTGCAATGAATAGCGTATAAGTTTTTAATGAGAATTGCGATCGGCACTATGTCGCTTGTTATTACAATATCACAAACTAATTTTTTGTTCGTTGCTGTTACACTTGCTGTAATGTCTAACGTCATCGGCGACAAATAGACTTCAGCACAGCAGCAAGGCTCCATGCCATAAACAGACCGATAAATTGTAATTTAGCGCCATATACGGAAGTTCATAAATTATAAATTAATTGTATGACTTTTTCTCCATTCTGCGAAGTGAAACGTTGTTGATTGTCGTTCAACTTTCTACGTTGCACTTGTTATTGTTATTTCTAAAACTAAAAACATTGTGGAAAAGGACGAACAAAACTGCAATATTATGAGAAGAATGTCGTAAATTGAATGCATTTTTCAAATAAAATTGTAATGTTACATATGGACATTTTATGATTGCACGGTTTTACAGAAACAGAGATAGATAGAGAGAGTTCATCAAAACATATCAAAACTTGTGTCCATGCAATTCGGATTTCGTCATTTGAATTCTGTACATTTCGTGCAAATGTTGTTTTTAATGTATTTCGAGTAAAATTTAAAATTAAAAGCAAAAACAGAAACACTTTTAAACCATCAACATACGCATTTACACATGCAATCAACATCTGAAGTCGCGCGCGCACGATTGTTGGTGTTTCTTTAGCAGTGTTATTATTATTATGATTGAAGCAATTTTGAGCGTATGTTTGTGCAGAAGCCCCGTGTTCTTTTATAATTACAACCAATGATCATTTAAATGTATGGGCTTTGGATTGCCGACATCCAACCGACAGAACGTTCGATTACCCAACATAAATTGAAGGGGAAAACGCACGTACGGGAAAAAATGAGATGGTGCGAGAAAAAGAGACAGTGAGAGAGACAGAGAGAAAACAGAAAACAAATAAGAATGCAAAAACAGTAACAGCATGCAAAACATCAATCGCAATGTAATACGAAGATGAATATTTTATTGTTTTTTTTTTTCTTTGAGGCGAAGTTTTCATTCTATCATTTTGTATTTTGATGATTCGGTATTGATTGCTGAGATTATGTCTTTGATTGTTATCGGTTTAAAAGTTGAAATGTGAAGGACACATCAGTGATCGATGTTGCCGAACCGCAACACGATTCACTAGGATTTGGTCAAATCGGACGTCCTGAGGCAGACGTACGTATATGCACGCGCGCTCGATAGATGCGATTCGTCATGTGTTTGTTTCCCTTCTTTCACTTGCTAATAGGTGAATATTTTGTTTCACTCTCTGTACCTCATGCCGGTTATGTCTGTGTGATTTACGGTCGCGAATCCAATCAAAGATATAGGCCGACATATAAATAAATGAAAAAGAGAATATGAAGACAGCAACAATGAATAAAAATACACGGCGGCACGAACAATAAAAACAAACCAACGAACCAGCCACGCAGTCAACCATTCAAGCTGCATACTGACTGCTGCATCTATACAGCATATACGTACCGCGAAATGCAGTTGTACCAGCGGAACAAAGTAATGTACCACTAAAACTCAATGCACGCATCGTCGTTATTCGAACACTTATGAGAGTGCATATTTTTTGGTGTAATTTTTAAGTGATTTGCGTAGTATTTTGTGTTGTCGGCAAAAAATTGTGGTTGATTTACAGTTTACAATTCACCAAGACAAAAACAAGAGGCCGACGAGAGGATTCCTTTTTCTTTGCTCTTTTTTTTTCGTTGCTCTCGTTGTATTTTAAAAAAATGAAATGAATTAAGTGGAAAGGCAGAGTACACGCGGATACGATCAAGCAAAGCTTGTACGGAATTGACCACAATGTAAAACAGGTGCTGATTTATGATAAAAAGAAGCTTGATCATCATCTTCCTTATTGAATGAATGCATGGAAGGCAAATGGAATGACAGCTTCCCCGAAATGCCGAAAGCCATCAAAATATCGAAAAGGATCGCAATCAAATATGTGTGTGTTTGTGCGCGCGCGAACTCTCGGCTTACTATTCGTCCATGTTGTTGTTGGTTTTTTTTCTTCTGTTTTTGTTTTTCGGCCACAAATCTTAATTGCTGCTCAAATTTTCACACATTTCATACGCAAAAGCTTTCATTATTGTTGCATCAACGAAAGAAAACAAGAAAATACCAAGAAAAAAGCGAATTGTATCTTTGTAATCGAAAAGAATCACCGAACTTCAATACGAAAACAGAGATGCCAAATCAACAACAAATTCGAATCAGTGCACAAAAGTCATTAAAAATTACGAAAAACAACAATAAAAACAACAAAATAAAATATAATAATAATCGGACAATATTTTGTATGTGCTAACTGAAAAAATGTTCACGCTGTAGTCGATTAGTCGATTTGATTTCATACGAATAACGGCTTTTAGATAATTACATTTACACAAAATACAGAGGGAGAGAAGAGAGAGCGTGCGCGCAAGTGAGAGACAGAGAGAAAAGATCACAAGTGAAACAAAAATACCCGAGATCAAAAGCAAAAACATATAAATTACATTCACCGCTATCAGAGAGTTTATCTGGTGTGCTGTGCGGTAGAATTAAGGAAGTCTATAAATCTGATCTACGGCCGTACTTGTCTTAAATCAACGTTTGATCTTTCGTTTGAATGAAATCAAAGTGAAATTTTCATTGCCCAATGCGTGTGAAACATTTTAATCGTAATCAAAGCATTCGTGACAAGATCTTTGTTCGCCTCTAGGACTGCGGCTCCTTGGATTATACGAAATTGATCAGTGATCGATCGGTTGGAGACTTTGTTTACATTTTATTTAGATGTTTTTCCTGTGTTTTCCGGCTGTTGTGACTATAGTCACCTTTTTTTTACATTTAGATTGCCAGAACAGGTGTATTGTTTTATATTTCTTACAATTTATGTATCAATTATTTCCAAAACAAATATCTTTTTCGAATTCCGAATGTTTGTATGATTCACTCGTCAAATGCAATTCTTACACAAACTCATCCAACAATATTTATTCGAATATTTCGATTACATTGAAACTTGTGCCAGTTGCTAATTTGTTCCGTAGCCAATCGGCAAATAAAATATGTTTGAAACAAATTTGTCAGGCAGACAAATATAAACGATGAAATCGAATCGTAAACAAACTAAACGATAAAAGAAAAATTTGCATGCTCAACAATTGGATGTCAACTTACCATAGTAGCTGCGATATGATTTGAAGATTGTCCAAAGAACCGTTTTTTGTCCGGATGAATTTTGCCCATTGTTTTTGTCGTGTTGGTCAGTCAATTGAATTTGTGTTCGTTACGGCCAAAATGTAACGTACAGCTCTCTTTGTTTTAAATTGAATTAATGGCTATAATTGCATTTGTTTTGTACCCGTTTTTTTCACTTGGTAATTTGTTATAAATCCTCCTTTCTTTTTGCTCAAGAAATCACTTTTAAAGCATTTTTTTTTCTTCAGAAAGTTGACTTTTCCGTTTTGTTTTACTATATCAAAAGAAAACAATGTATTTCGATGGTTGTTTTCTTTTCCTCTGTTTGATTATACTTGATAGCCACAATGTTGGAAGAAGACAAATGAAATTTTCTTGATGCACTTCACATGCCATGTGCTTTCCAAAAAAAATTCACCTTTATTTGTTTCAATATTTTTCATTTAATCAATGCGAGAATCGCATAAGAAAATTCAAATTATTCAATTCGTCGAAAAATTCATTTAAAGACATTGATGGGAAATCGCTCGAAAAGGCACATTTTAATATTGAATTTAAAAAAAAAAAAAAATAATAATAAATTCAGTCTGTTTCAATTTTAAATTTCACCCAATTTTTGTTTCGATATTTCAAATGTTTTATTTTTTTAGTTTTTGCTTTCTTCAAACGATTTTTTTTCCTGATTCGAAAATTAAACAAAGTTATCGCTGCGCGCTCTCGGTTGTGCTAAGCACACATCTCTTCAGGTGATCCGCTCGATACAAACTGATTTCATTTGCTTACTATGCCGGAAAGTTGTACCTTTACAAATTTGTTGGTATTTCACGGAGACGTATGCACACACCACACGACGGAATCGTAATGTGTGTGTTGAGTGTGCCAAGAGTAAGATGAGTAAAAAAAAGCGCACGATGTTCAAATCAAAGCCAAAGACACTGTGATTGTGCCTTAGCACGGCATTTTTCCTTTACATTCCAATACAGTGTTGTGTGCACATGAAAACAAAACCACCACACACTGGCGAGTAGTCGTCTCCTGGACTGGATTCACATGCGTACACCTTAAACGCATGCACGGATATGTATAAAACAGTTGAAAGTGTGCATGTAGTTGTGCTTAGGCATGATCTACATGTGTAGTTGGAATATCTAGAGAGAAAGAGAGCGAGACCTTACTTTATGTGACTGTGTGAGTTTGTGTACAGCGTGCTGCCGCTGTTGCTTTTGCTATGCTCTCGGACGTTTGAATACTTTTTTTTGATGAATGTAAAAAAGTGGCATGTGATTTAAGCTCGTGCATGGCCCGTTCAGTATTGAAAGTTCCGAATAACAACAACAAGAAAACACTAAACACACTGGTTGTAATATCACTATACGCGTGCAAGCATCCATCTGAATACTGAATGTACGCGCCGCGTACACATACACAGTTCTTCACTGACAAACGACAACAGCAAAACATTGTAATCACTTCGATATATTGTGTGCGAGTGTTTATTCGTGAGTTTGTTGCCCATTTGTTGTTGATTTTTTTCGCCCATTTTCTGTTTTCTCTTGCCGAATGAACAAATCATCATGCAGAAATTGTGCATGATTTTTTTTGTTATTCTCATCGCTGCAGCACGCACGTTGAGTGGCAACACCAATTGCGCGCGATAGCTAGTAATAACTGCAATAACTGACTTGTTAGCTTAAGGGCGAAATCGATCGTTCATTCGATCATTAAAGAACTGGAAAAAGCGCGAAATTACGATAACGTGCATCAATTCATCCCTCTATGTAGATGCACAATCTTTTGTGCCGATTTCAATTTTTTTCTCTTAATTTTTCTCTCTTCTTCATTTCCATTCACACAGCAATGCATCAGTGCTTTACTCGTTAGGCCAGACCGTGATCGTGGCCATGCTCACTGTGTCCAGCTTGAGTTTGCAATACACAAATCCGCGATTGTGATTAGAAGCGTTCACATTGCGATGTCATTAATTCGTTGAAATGCATTGTATGCATGTGCCCGCGTGTCTCTCTCGCATAATACATACTGGTGCCCGTACAGCCGTTTTGCTTCAAAGTTCAAATATTTTTCACTGAATCGATAGAGGTAACATACTTTTTACTTGATGTTAGAATAATACGCGTTCATACAAAGAAAAATCTCCAATTTGTGCGATACAAAATGCGGTCAAATATACTTCATATTTTCTTAATACATGCTTAATAATCATTGATTTGGAACATTTTTTTATGAAATCCTATAAAATTAACGGTTTAAATTTTTTTATATTCATTTTAGGTTAAACTTTTCATGGCAAATAAAATGACCAAAGTACGATAGAATTTAATATGAATTTTTGTGTACACCTAAGTTTCGGCACGGAAAGTGGAACATTAACATAAAAATTAGGTGTTGATGAAGAGAAATCATGTTCAAGTGATTAAACTGCAAAACAAACGGAAATTATCCTGATAGCTGATGACGTTAGTGACATTGATAATCACGATGAGCAGTATATTTGGTGCCAAAATACATGCACAATCATCTGAAAACATATAGTATTTGAATTAAATAATTTAGAATGTATAAATCGAAAGTCCATGAGTTCAATCTGAAATATTACCAGTTAGCGATTGTTTTTCTTAATAAAATGATAATTTAGTTTAACAGAAAATATGATTTAAAAATGCAAATTAAACCAAAAAAAACCTAAACAATAAAATCTTCATGGTTTTATGGATTTGAACAAAAACTACATAGTAAAAAGAATAATCTTTTCTTCGCTCGTTCAACATAAAAAAAATTATCAAAATTAAAGTTTCTTTTCTAAATACAATACATAAACGCGAAGTTTTTATTTTCTAAACAAAAGCATGTTGGTTCTATATTTTTTTCCATTTAAGTGGAAATAAATGTTTTTTTTTGCCATTAGATACTCACGTTATAATCGTAAAGAACAATTTGAGCGACAAAAGCCGTTTAAATAGAAAGAAGAAAGAGATGCCGCCAAAGGACCAGAATTATTCTTCTTATCATTCTCCCGCGCACACAAAAGGCGAAATAAAATAAAATGGATTTTAGGCTTTGTTTCCATCGCAAACAAAAAAAGGATATTCGGCAGTTTTGTGGCATTTCTCAGAGGTATTGAAATTGTAACACATTTTTTGTATGTGTGTGTGCTTTTTTTGTTCTCTGTTTAGATAGGATCTTAAATGAGCGAATGGTTTACCACGAGCGTGGTCGATTTATTTATTTATTCGTATGTGTGTGTGTGTGTGTGTGTGTGTTTTTTTTTGTTAAAAACAATATGTTTGTTGACTGAAGACAATTGCACATTAAGCAATGAGTGTCAAATGACATGCGTTTGTTGTCTTTTGTGTTGTCGGAATTGGATTTAAATCATTTCAATGTATGTTTGTAAGCCCATTAATAGAAAGTCATTCTCTATCTGTTACTTTTAGTACATCGGTATCTTGAAAATAGTCGATCCTTTCACAGCGGTGTGTATGGTAATCGAAAATAGGGCACTCAAATGTGGCTCTCTTTACCAGTCGCCATCAATCTTTCAAAAAGATAACACACACACACACACAAAATATGAGAATGGGCAGAGTTGAGAGAAAAACAAAATGAAATGCTCATGCATACGCAGAATCCCAAGTTGGTTTACTCAATCTACTGTCTGTGGCATACAGTCACGGATGATATAAATAAATAATTTGTTCAGCGCGGCAAATATCTTTGTAATTTTTTGATAGCGGAGCATTTTTGTTCTCTCTTCCTTCACCGTTCCCGTCTCACGTGTACATTGCATTCACTTCATTTGTACTTTATAATGAAGATCCATTGAAATTACAACTGAATTGATTTTTTTACATTGTTTGTCGATTGTGTAAAATTGTATGTATTGATATTCACATTCAAAAAGAAAAAAAATTCATACATGTTTTCTAATTTCTGTGTCGTTTTTTTGTATTTCTTGGGATGCTGCCGCTCTCTGTCTCAATCGCTTTGAAAGATATGCTAAGCATGCTAGTACATAGAAAGTAAAGTAATCACTCACTCACAAAAACACGCACACCGCAGAGAAAGAGAAAGAGAGAGAAGGAGGTGGTGGTGGAGGAGGAATAGAAAAAAGAGCGAAATAGAAAACGAATCAAACTAATTTCAAAGCAAAAATACCGTGTATTTGGAACTATTACCTTCAACTGCTGCTATTAAAAGTCTTCATTGTTACAAATCTAAATTCAAATCATTTGGTACATAAAAGCGTTCATTCAGTGCTCGAAATACATGCGATGTATATTCACATACATTCTCTCGCTCTCGCCAAACATCAACACCGATCCAAAATACTACAATAACAGACGAGGCACCAGCACCAGTAACATCAACAGCAGCAGTCACAGCAGTCGAAGCAACAGCACACACAACGAAAGAGAGCAATGCTATGTTGTACCAGCTGTTATGAGTTTTGCGGCTTCTTTTTATCCTTGCCACTCTATTGTTTCCCGTATCGAAAGACCACTATTATGTAAACAACAAATTCTTTTGAACTTTGCCGCTCTCAAAGGTACCGCATATTAAGTGTTTTACGTTAATAAATTGTATCACCGTCCCATTTTCGCGACATGATCTATTTTTCCTCTTTTTCCTTTTTTTTCTTTTTTTTTCTGCTTTTGCTTGTCTTTGGATTGATTTTCTTCGTTTTTTTTTAATTCCATTTTGTGTATTGGGTTTTCTTGCTGCTGAACTGCAGTAGCTTTTTTTTCGTTTGTCGCAGTATTCAATAATAACAATAATAGCGGTCTTTTGTGGTTGATCTTAGCAACGGTGTCGCTGAACAACAAATACACATACAAACACTTTGCGAGCTTTTAGGCTTATCGTTACTTTGTTTTCCATTTGATTTTATTATTGTTGCAAATTTTTCTGCTGCTGTAGCTGCTGCCGCTGTTGTTGATGATGATGACGATGATGATGCTGTTATAGTTGTTGTTTTGCTGTTGTTATTGTTATTCCTCTTCATATTGGTTCTGTATCGTTTAAACCGTCGTCGAGGGTATCGTTGCATTAATAGCATCAGGTATTCAAAGAAGTCAAATGTATGTTTTTAGCTCAAATCTTTTGGTTTAATGTATACGTTTGCATTGATTCTCATTCTTCAGGTGACAAGTGTGTTTATCATTAATCATATTTTGCTTGGATTTTCACATGATTGGCCTCTGTGTGTGTGTGTGTGTGTGTGTGTGTACGGTTCGTTTATTTAAATCTTTTGTCCTTCAAAAATTTCAACGAACGAACGAATAAGAGTGTATAAAAGAGGTAATAATTGAAAGTTCTTCGCATTTTTTTCTGACGTGATCGTTGTTCTGCCGCGGGTTTGAATGTCATTACCAATATCTTTGTCGAGTTCAATGAATGTCATCGAAATGATCGTATCAATACTTTCGTCCGTAAATTTTACAGTCGTTTAATGAATCCGTTACGGCTGTTTGTCACTATTTTTCCTTCGATTACCCACAAAAAAAAACAGTCCGAAAAAAAGATGCTATAAATAGCGCATTTGGG